TGTGTGTGTGTGTGTGTGTTTTAAATACATTCTTTGAGGAAAATAAACTGTAGATACCTTGATTATAAACCCTTATTTTAACATTCACAAAATTAAGCAAGTAGTAGGAAGGCATGCCCGTGGAGCGTGATGAAACTGCTGTATTTTGAAAATTCATTGATGTGTGTCATCTGTTGTATCCCACGACCTGTAAATGAAGAAAATTACAGGAGTCCCTCACCACACCCACCCACACCTCAGCACTGGGCCCCCGCAGGGTTTCCTTCATTGTCTGCCTGAGGAGCCTGAGCTCACAGCTTCTTTTCTTCCTGACAGACACTTGGACAAGTCGGAAGCACTTCTCTATTATAACCCAGACAAGCAGCGGCTCTGAAATGAGGACCTGTAGACCCACGGCACTCCTCTCCTTCATCGGTAAAGTCTTCTTTTTCCACAAATTACATATTAGAGGTGTTTGTTGTTGATATAGATGGCAGGCAAGTCAGAACTCAGCGAAGGGAAACAAGTAGGACAGCCTTGAAGTTACAGACCAGTGTTTAGGAGCACAATCACTCTCTGGGAGTAGACTATAACTGACTCTTCATATTTCAGTTTCAGGATTTTAACAAGCACTTTTATGCCTTGTAAAGTTATGGTTTGGTAGCCTACTCCCATTACTGTTTTTAGAGTTTGATACATTTGCTGTATAATAGTTTATTGTTCATAAAGAGCGAAAAAAAACAACAACAACACATATTTTAGACTTTTTGTTTCTTGAATAAAAAGCTGTTTGTAAAATGCTCTGTGCTTTAGCCCAGTTTTCTTGATTCCCATAAGCAATAGGTTCATTATATCCCTTTTAGAACCTATTCTTTCATAATGTAAATCTTTCAATCTCTTACTATCTTTTTCATCTTACTAAAATGGGGGCCTCTCAGAGAGCTTGATTTCTCATCACTACTGACTTTATCTCAATTTATGTTAAATTTATCCAAATGGGTCAGATTTGTATGTAGTTATGACTTAGCATCCAAGTTAGGCTCATTGTTACAAATCAGAAAACTGGTGTTGTTTGCTTACTGATGATCTACAATACATAGCTCTCAATACATCTGAAAAAAAAAGTTTTCCATCTTGGAAGTCCAGGGCTGCACTAGGTAACCCTGATATTGGACTAGGTAATCCATATTGGCTTTCAAGACAAAAGGTGTCACAATTGAGTTGTACAACAAAATGTAAAAGAATCATTTATAGTCAGAGTAAGACTCACAGTCAGACTTGGCTTTCATTCCCTGTGTCTGATTGTCCCCTATATAGAGCACTATATAGTGATTATGCCATTTTATATGAGTGCTCGATTGTCTAGTGGATGAAAAAGTAGGGGACTCAAAATTTCCCACAGTACGCCTTGAAAAGTAGTGTGTAACGATGGGCTGTGCCCAGACGTCCGCCCTAACCCCTAAATCCCTCAATCACTCAGAAAGCATCATGGGATTTGTTTTGGGGGTGAGACAGAACAAAGATGGTGAAGGCACCGTGTGAGCTGGAGACACTTCGCCAATTGTGAGTGAAAAGTAGTGATCATCTGTCCGAACAGTCAGTTAACTGAGTTCACTCTAAAGTTCACTATATAGTCCCCACTCTATATAGTGATTGAAGGGTTAGGGGTTAGGGCGGATATTTGGACAAAGGCATTGTCAAGTTTGCACACATAAATCTACTATAGGTAAATCTACTATATATATATATACACAACTTAAATAAAAAATATTTGCATGTATATAAAAATATATTTCTATTTCATTTGTGTGTGTGTATATATATATATATATATATATATATATATATATATATATATATATATATATATATA